ACTAAGCCACTATCAATGTATATTAGGAACCTTCATTGGAAACAATATGGAGCAATCAAGTGAATCAACTAGTACTAAAACAGAAAAAGCTATAAATTTTCACAAAATCTCCAATTGATGAGCTAAGAATGTTGTCTTCCGTTTTGAAAACTAACCCTAAGATCAAACAAAGTTTCAATTTTTATTATAAAAAAAATTCTCAAAGGGTACAATTAGAAATCCAAAATCAAACATAAAAGGAAAGTCCTTTTGGGCAACAATCGATCTCTAACAAAAACCTAAACAGACCCAGAAGAATTGAAATAAGCCCGAATTAGGAGGAGAAGAAGAAATTGTACCCGATTTCCACCAGCGGTAACGAAGACAGTGAAGAAACGAGCATCAAGGAAGTTGAAGACAAGGGCATACAAAGGTTTCTTCCCTTCTTGAATCCTGTTGGTCACTTTGTAAGATTTCTTGTTCGATGGAGTCAAAGACCCAACCAGTGACTCGTTCCCTAAAGCTATCTTTGACATTTTAAGGACCCAAATCTCTCTCTCAAGCAGACACACTAACTCTGTCTTAAAGCTCACACCAGTCTCATGCAACAAGAGGTTTTTGTGAGTTTTTCGATTAAACACGAACACATTTAGAGGTTACCAAAATTACTCTCTTTAAGTTTGTAACCGTAGATTTGACCTGACGACAATAATTTTTTTTTTGACTTGACACAAACTATCTTTATTATTATTCTTTTTTTTGTTTTATGACACACTGACTATATATTTTAAGAAAAATAAAATAGCAAAATCTGGTAAGGAGATCAAAATTATTATTTGATCAACATTACCATACGTATTTAAACAAAAAAAAAATGATGAAAAATTTAAATATTTGATTGATACGATCGAAATTACCAATTTGTCTATTGTTTTTTTAGAAAACTATACATAAGATATGATCAAAATAAATTTCTTCTTTTGACCGTGACTAAATATTTTTTGAAGTTTAATTTTTATTATATAAAATTGATACATCTATAATTTTAACTTAAATAAAAGATAATGAATTTAAGTTATTTTGGTTTGA